CAACAAATAATGCACAATTAGTCAAGTAGGCACAACATGATGCAATGAGTTCGCAACCTAACCATGGCTCTAGTTCTCTAAAGTTCGGGATATGGTTTAGTAAAACAGGGTCCATGGTTAATTGTCCAGATGCACCGCGTAGAAGCCTAACCGTGAAGGGTTAACACGTGTGGATAGGATACCGCGAGTTTTTAGAAAAAACTCACTTCCATGGTTTGGTGAATTCAACCTCTCAGATGTACCCTTTGTTGCCAGGAGCGTTCAATCGGGTAGATAGAGCATGAATTCCCAGAGGGTTATGTCCATATGTAGAACACATATGGGTTTCAGAAAAGTGAGAAAAAATTCAATCAGGAAGCAGGATCGAGCAAACAATACGAAAAACCGGTCGAAATTAGAACGCATATTTCTGGCTCGGTATTGGGGGAAATTGGCGCCAGCAAACAGAGACTGGCGCTAACTTTTAACTGTAGCGCCTGGCGCCAATACTGGCGTCTGGCGCTACGGCTAAAAGTTTGGCGCCAAGCTCTGGCCCCTGACGCTACTTCCCACATGCCTCAGCAGCTTTCTGTGCTCAATAAAATCATCCAGTTTCGCGCGGTGTTATTTCAGTCCTAGTTGTGAAAGACATTTCTCAAATTTCCTACGTGTAAAATCCTATATTTTTTACTCATTACGGATGGTCTTTCCAATGAGAACCTTTTTATGCATATGACAATAATGTTAATCAAAATTACGCACATGAAATACTTAGAACTTTTCGAGTCTCATCCACTCATTCTAAATCATTGCCGAAACAAATTCAGGAATTAAAATAGAAATCCTCCCCATTGGAGTCGCCAAAAACTGTAGGGAATAATTTCAAGCCTTTAAAAATCCCACTAGCTCGAACCCCACTGTGATCATACACTAAAGTACGGTGGCGTCCAAAAGGGAAGAAGATAGAGCAAAAGAGTCGCTAACAAGTTTTTAAGGAACATATAAACCGTTCATAGGATGAAAGTTACACCCCTTAACGATCCAAGAGATCGCCAACTCCATAAGGTCATGAACCAAATAAGGGTTCGGGGATGAAGGTACAAATCCAACCTAAAAGAGATCGAACCTGCCCTAATAATAGGCCTCTACTTTATTCTGCTCGTATTCATGTGCGCTTTCTGATTAACATACAATCAATAGGATTAACCCTAAACCTGTTTAATCTATGTTGGTTGAATTTAATGCACAAATAAACTATTATTGGCGATCACTTGAAATTATAATCACAATTAACCTAACAAGATTATTAATTATCTTATCAAGCGTGATTACAAGTACCAAATTCCCTTTAAACATGCATAAAAGGTGATCAAGCATTAACAAATAAAATATATGCATATCAAGCAACATAATGAATATCAACATCATTAATAATAATATTACTGATCATAATCATAATCATCATAATCATGTTAAAGCACAGCAAGATCCTAGGCATGATACTAACAAGATTAATCACAAACCCTAGCATGTCACTAAACAATAAAAATCAAATCTTTAGCCCTAACATGATACTAACAATCATAAATATTAGGAAGAATATAGGAAGCATCGTACTTTTAATCATACTTGATATTAAAGTTACCCTAGACATGATACTAGGAATCAAAATAACAATCTAAGCATGATTTCTACATCATAATATCAATAAAAACAATTAAAGTACTTACTTGGATGCCTCGTACCTCTTTCTAATAACAAAATACACACGTTAGTAACTTCAAGGAAAATAATAATCAAAATAATTAAATTAAATAATTGAAATAGAGATTTGGGACCAAACCCTCATAAATTAAAACCTTTCACGTCTAGGGCGAAGGCAACTTCGAATATGGATAGGTGTTTCTAGATCTAATGAATGCGGAATTATGTATTTGAGAAAAGGCTAGTTTAGAAAAGAGAGAGAGAAACAATAATCAAGAAAATCTTTATGAGAGATGGTTAATGAAAAAGGGGAGATATGACCTCTATTTATAGGAAAAAAGAGGGTCGAAGAATTAAGAAAAGAATCCAAATTCGAATCGAAATAAAACTCGTAGACAACAGTTTTTGCGGATTTTGTTTTTATCATATCTTTTGATCCAAGAAACGGAATAAGATGAATAAGAAGTCGTTGGAAAGATCTTGAAGTCTACTTTCTAAACCAATTAGAATCAGATTAAAATATGTTGTAGAATAAAAGATATGAACGAAATAGTGAGACGGTGTCAGCTTTGGATAGAGTTTGATATCTTATTCATATCTTTTCCGTTATAGCTCGGAATTATTATTATAATATATCATTGGAAAGATAATTTCAAGATATATTCAACCATATAAAATTTGGATAAAAAATATGATGCACGAAAATAATATCTGACTGTCTTTGAACATGTTTAAATCCGAATAGAATTAGGACTTTAAAAAAGGAAAGTTTTATAAAAAAGGAAAGTTTATATTTAAATCAAATTCCTTAATCTTATCTTTTCAAAAAAGAATAATTAAGATATTTTAGAAACTTATAGAAGATTCTAATCAATCCTAATTAGTTTAGGAATAGGATTAAACCTTTGAACCCTCCTCGTGATCATTGGGTCGTAGGTAAAATCCGGTTTGGGCCCAGTTTAGTATTTTGGCCATAACTTCCTCATTATCCATCGGAATTGGGCTTATAATATATCGTTGGAAAGGTCTTTTCAAGCCCCATCCAATTACACCATTATTGAACCCTTATCATGGACCAAACTAAACTGGAATGGACGTTTTCATAAAATAGAGTGGGTTTTCGAAAACAGAAAGAAAGAATTTTAACAAAAACTAACCGCAACACTAGACTTTTCACACTTTCACCTCATTCGATTATGGTTCGACGTGAAAGGTATTCATCACTAGGTTTGGTTTTGGGGAGACACAAATGGGTGTCTACAGTTACAGTATACGAAGTACTTGATATTAGAATGATGTATAATCAGTCCATCAACTCCTTTCCTGTCAGATTATCTTTTGAGTAATGATTACACTGTACTTGAAATTAGAATGGATTATGGCAGTCACTGGTTTAATCTTGATGCCACTTGGATGGAAGACGTGATTACCGATTTAGATTTGTAATTGATGTGTTAATTGATGTGTTTCCTTTCGGCTGTTTAGTATTCTGCCATAGCCCATATGATAGAGTACAATGTCAAATTATTTTCGAAGTTAGCTGCATGATTAGCAGAAATTATCCAATGTTGCAGCAATAACTTCGTTTTCCTGACGTCCTGACGGAGCACAAGGCCTTCTTTTGCTACTCTTACTACTAGGGCTGTACACAGTTTGGTCTGGACTGTAACCAAACCAGACCAAAACCGCATTTTAGCGGTTTGATTTGGTTTAAGGTTTGGAAAATTAAGGTTTGGTTTCGATTTTTTGGGAAATACGGTTTGCGGTTTGGTTTGGTTTTTCAAAAATTATAAATCAAACCAAACCGTAAACCAGTAAACCGCATTTTAATATTTATATAATTTTTAAATAAATTAAAATAGTTATTATATATTATAAAAAAATAAAAAATTATTAGAAGACTATACGGTCAGTATACTTCTATACTCTATACTCATTCTCAAATATCAATACTCAAAAATCATTAGAAGAAAGCCCCTGATGTTTTCAACTTGGCACATGTTGCTGCCAATTATTAAAAACTATAATGTAGTATGAAATTTTTTTTGGACAAATGTATTATGTTTTTTTCCACCGTTAATTTGTTATGTATTATTTTTATTATGTGTTACTGTGCTAGAACTTAGCATTGATTAGTTGGTTGTTATTTTTATTAAAATTTTGTAGTATATCCCTATGGGCTAATTATTTGAACTTTATTATAAATTTATTAATATTTGACAATTTTTAGGAAAAAATATCGTCTCATCATAAACCGCACCAAACCCCATTATTACGGTTTGGTTTGGTTTGGTTTCAATACTAATATGATTTGGTTTGGTTTGGTTTGGAAAAAACCGTACTTTGCGGTTTGGTTTGGTTTATACTAAAACCGCACCAAACCAGACCATGTTCACCCCTACTTACTACTACTCTTTTAGTTATGTGAATAAATGGATATCATACGCCCTGGATCTATCGTTATTTCAGCTCTGCATTTTGGGTTGCTCACTTGCATTGGAGCTGCCTGACCTTTGTAATATTGCCTTCAAATTTAGATATCCCTCCAACTGAAATTTCTGTGATTGCATACCAATAGATAGTGGAATTATCATTGTAGCTTCATCCCGGAATAGCTTGAGACGCTTGACACCTCACTAAATATAGCATGGAACCACTAACTAAAAACTATTTTCCTCTACTCCACTAATTGTTTGATAATTTCGACTTCGATTTAGACCCAAAAAAAGTCAAAATGGCCCCTAAAACCTTAACCGAACAATTAATATCACAAAAAAGTAATGCCCTGCAAACCGAGACATTTTTTACACCCATATGAGACATTTGCGTTATTTTTTTTTTTCTAATTTTGAGGTTAATTTGGATCATTATGGACTACCATGACTCCCAAAACTTTCACCAAACAATTTTCGACACGCAAATTGAAACATTAAATGTTTAAAAGGGGTATTAGTCTTTTCCTTAATTAGTTTAACTTAGTAAAATAGTTTTTATCAGTGTTAATCACAGTTGAGAAAAAAACCAAACCATGAGTGAACCGATGGAAAGGCAAAAATTTAAGAGTATATAGATGGAAAAAGTCAAAATCACGGGTATACCAATTGTTTGTTTTTTTTTTTTTTTTTTTTTTTTGTGTGTGTGTGCAAAATCTTCAAGTAAACTATTTATAACTTATGATATTTTCTTTCCAATTTGACAATTATATTTCATATCTACCCAAATAAAATATTACTGAATATCTTTAATATACTTTATGTATTATTTTATAATATTATTGTAAAAAAATTATTTGTGCACAGCACAGAATTTTAACCTAGTTAAATAAACGAATAAATAAATATCTTCAATTCCTCAAGAGTTACCGTCTGGAAACTTTAGTACACAATCGTCCTATATATAACCATAATCATCTCTATGAACAGCAAACAGATTTCTACGTCTCAGGAAGACAGGATGCTAACAAATACAGTAGGAAAAATCAGCAAGCATTGATAGTCAATTAGGCTTAGTAATGACATTTTATAAGCCATTGACAAGCTTTTGTTGCATTCACAGAACTCAACAAATATGTATACAAATTCTAACCATATTTTATTGCTTGAACTTAAACTCTCACCACAAACTAGAACTTAGTCGTCATATAATACAGAATATGATGGCAGAAGAGGGGGTTATGAACGGTTTAAGGCAGATTTCTAGTAGCGGCGACCACCAGCAGTAGACAGGAGTACACGACTTGATTTCTTACCCTTCTTCCCTGTTTCATTGGTCTTGTGTGTCTCTGGTCTCTCCCGAGAAATTACATTTGCAAACGAGTGTACAGTCTGGACACCTTGATTTGTTGACCCTACACAAGCACCAAATCCTTAAATCAGATCACAAGTTATATTTATATCGATTATTGCAGTGGTAGAAAAACTGCTCAATACACCCAGCTTGAAGCTAAAAATGACCACCCCATCATCTACCAGATAACAAGCTTATTATCCAATGATCTATATACACAAGAAAGCGGCTAATACTGCTTTCTCCAATATTAAGTAGCAAGACTAAGGTAATGGGGCATGGTGGCAGTTACTTTATAATCCAGATCAAACATGATGGTTCCCAATATTGCATATGTAAATGGCTCAAGTTACTAAGAATAGAGTACCATTAATCCCGGTGGAAGAACTAGTTCTTCCAACATCAGCTTCAGGTGCAGTTTCTTGAATATGCAAGGAAGGAGAACCACACCCTGCTGCAAAACCCAGCCTCGTAACATTTGAGAATAATTGTCGTCCTTGAACTGAAGGGCTTGATGCCGCCACTGTTGTGGCAGGACTTCCAAGAGCTGAATCATAAAACAAATCTATCAGTGAACTGGCAATCATCAGTACTTTATAACTAAGGAATTATTAACTTATTAACTTGATTAGATGATTTTAACCAAGACAGAAAGTTAGAAACTATATGACGGGATCTTATAAACAGGCCACCAAAATATTCAGAACAGCAAACTGTTGCATAGAGCAGAACATTGGAGACCTACAAAAAAGGAAGCAAATCACAAAAAAGTTGTTTCCCAATAGTCTAAGTTATATTCGGTTGTTACGAGCTGGTTGCATTAGCTAATTTGACTAGTTAGTTGCATAAGATGTTTTGACTAGATGTTTGTATTACGCAGTAGCTATTTATAAAAGAGTGTTCCGTAGTATTAGCTAATAACTTGTAGCTGTTTTGTTATGAGCAAGTGAAATGCTAAATAAGTAATAGAATAGGGTAATTGGACAGGAAGATATGTAAAGTTTAGACATTATGTCAAAGTTATCATTACTCATTAGGCTAAATTTCACAACCAGCTAACCTTAAAAGCTTCTTTTTTCAACTTTTTGGAAATCATGTGTTGAGCAAAAAATACCAATTGGTTTCAAAGTACACAATAAAGAAATTTCTAAGTAGATTAAACTTGTGTGAGGATGACAAAATCTAGAACATACTATTACCTTCAAAGTCATCCATGGAGAAAGTAGATGAGCTATCATAAGCTTGCATATTATTATTGTAATGAACAGGTAGGGAATATGAAGTATCAGCTTCAGCTTTGATTTTATCCTCGTGTTCCTGCATGTGCAAAATTGCCGACAGGAGAAAATTTAAAAATGTCCAATCTATGTAATTCAGTCTGATCACGGAAAACAAGTAGAATTCACAGAGGATTTAATAACCCATAGCACACAAACTATCATTTACGCCACACACCATACATAGCTTACAGCTATAGAGAATGAGGAATGGAAACCACATCAAAGAGCTAGATAATTAACAGCTGCCATTCTCACCAAGACACCAACAGAGCGTTAAAAAAGCCAATCACCAATAGAAAGATCAAATCCGAGAATATAGCAAAATTTATTCTTGTCAATTTTTTAAAAAAAAAATTAATGATTGTTAAATTTACAGAAGGAAGATTTGACATCTCTTTTTTTCTACAGCAGGTTTAGCCAGAACTAATGTCATGAGATAAGAATGGAAAGTACTCCTTTACAAAATACACATTCCAAGCACCACAATTCATCATAAGTTCAGGCACAACGTTACTCGCCAGTTGATATATCTTTATAAGAGAGCAGAAAGCAAAAAAACTTAAGATAATTAAATCAGCTATCAATACCTTTCTGGCAAGCTGCTTTCTCTGCCTTTCACGTTTCTTTAAATCATCTCTGAAAGGAGCCAAGGCTTCAGCAGGCAAGATGTCTTTTAAGTCAACTTCACATAGCTGTTAACACTTTTAGAATTAGGACAAGATCCAAACCCACTAAAAGAACCCAAATACAGCATTATAGTATTACCTGAAATGTGGTCGTCAAAGGAAAATGGCTCAGGTAGCGGTAGCGCCTCCTCATGGCCTCAGACTGAGTCACAGACTCCAATTGTAATATTTTCCCACTCACTCTAGAATTCATGCAGCTTAATCAGAATATGGGGTAATGCAAAGCTGGTAAAAAGTACAATAATGATTGCAAAGACAAGAAGACAAATTTACAGTGAAAATGCTTCCCATGAATCAATATCAAAGTGAACTTAAATGCTGATCAACAGAGCTGCAAATTTTATTTTTACATATAAATAATATCAATCATAATCCTTCCAAAGTTCCATTCCAAGAATTTTGTCACTAAAAAATTGGTCTCTGAAGAGGATGCCAATATTAAATATATAAAGACTAGAATAGACCCGGTCTACAATAACTTATTGTAGACCCAACCTTCTAGTATACCATACGAATGTGATTATATCATACGAAATGTGATTATATTATTACAAAAGTGATTATATCATCTTGAAACTGTTATGTAAATGTATCGCTCAAAAAGTGAATTTATCATTATAAAAAGTATCAAATAGTAAATTACATCATTTAAAAGATGATTTTAAAATTTTATCATCCTAAAGATAATTATATAATCTCATTAAATGGTTTAATATGAGATCAAAATATGACTCACAAAAAGAGAATTATATCATCTAAAAAAGTGATTATATCATCTAGAATGTGATTATATTATTTGAAAGAGTCAAATTTTGGGTCTACAATAATTTATTGTAGACTGGGTCCATACAAGATCAATTGTATTAAATATTGCCTTCATCCCATTTTAATTGCAACACTGTATGAAATAAAATTCAAAGGAAAAGGAAAAGGAAAAGTTGCAAAATAAAATAGGAGATGGTAGCTTAAAAAATCTCTATTACTCTTCCGAATCCCAAGGTAAAGAAAACAGATATGCCACACACTCACACACGAGTCCCCCTAGTATTCCACTCACCTGTCACCTCTACTAACTTCCTGCAAATATTGATTCTTTCTAACTCATGCTTTTAATGTTAAAGGACCATCTCAACCAAAAGCTTAAGATACTGGTTGAGGCCCATGAATATGTTTTATACTCTATCACGCCCCCTCATACAAGAGCATCATTAGCTTAACCATTAGGAATATGTTTTATACTCTATCATTTAAGTCTTGTATACATGTCATGTACCGACATGGCTAGGTATTAAACAGTAACTGATTAGGGGATTTTTCCCCACCAATCACCATCTGACAAGTGGACCAATCAGGTTCCGCCATGTGTCCGTCACATGGGCCAATAGGAGACTGCCACGTGTCAAGCAATGATCCGTCCACTATGGACCAATTACGACACGACACGTGTCCCTCCCATGACACCTGGGATAACCGGTCACCTAGGCCCAACTTCCGAGGGAAGCCCAATCAGCCCAAGGTTAACCTAAACCTAGATTGGCACGTTTCCCGAGGTTATAAATACCTCCCTTAATCCTCATTAAGGGAGATTACGCAGATTACACACATTAAACACTCTCACCTAGAGAGACCCAATCACTTTAATTTCCGCATTAATTACTCCTTAATCAAGCACTAATTTGACCGTTGGAGGCGGATCTCCAATCATCCGGAGCATCCGTTTGTTTTGCAGGTACAGGCGTCCGGTTCCAGTCTCGGAATTGTAACTCTCCCGCAGGACATCAGAAAACCCCGAAACATCTGGCGCCGTCTGTGGGGAGAGTACTTCTGAGATGGCATCCACGTTTGTACCGACTCCTGAAGAGAGGCGTCCCCTAGACGACCCTCTAGTTCAGTCGGACCACAATACTGAGAATGAATTTGAAGTTGAAGCTCACACAGCTTCAGACGGGACCCTAAGGGCCCGACGTACCCGTCATACCGAAAGGAGGGAACGGGAACATCTTCATACAGGAAGCGAGCCAGCAGGCGCACCGCACTGATGGGTCTGCTCCCATCACAAGGAGTGAACTCATGACCTTCATGAGGGACTTTAAGGGAGAAATTCAAGAGTTGATCAACAAGAAGCCGCCAACTCTGGACAAGGAGCAGTCGGCTAAGAAACCCTCCACTTCACAGAAGAGGAAGCCAGTTCAAGGGCGAGAGGCGACTCCTCATCCTAAATCTAGGAAGCAGGAGCCACCTGCCCTTGATTTCACAAAATACCGTTTTCCTACTCCAGGAAATAGGAAACCTGTTCGTCATATTCAGGCGGACGGGTCGAGGAAATCATACACAGACGCTCGGCTACTGCTAGAGCAGAAGAAGAGTGACCGATTGTCAGAGTCGGCCTCTACTTCAAACTTCCAAGACAGTCTGCGAAATACCTCGATGATGCATACTCAGTCATATCATGAGAGTCAGTCAGGCGGCACCTCCCGTCAGTCCGGCTTTCATAGCGACCAGGCGATACCAAACCTACCGTTTGTACCGCAACAACAGTATTTTTTACAGCCACCTCCGTTTGGTGGATATGCAGCAAAAAATGTCCAACCTATGGACTGGCAGCTACGGTTGCTTAGACTTGGTGAACAGCCGTCGGCCTTCTCTAAGGAAATTACTGAAGCCGCTCAGCCGGCCAAAGTGAAAAATGTATTAGTAGGCGCCTATGACGGCACAACTAACCCAGAAGACCATCAGATGGCATTCACCAACCTGATGAGGGTTGGATGATCCCACTTGGTGCAAGTGTTTCCCAGCGACTCTCAAAGGAATCGCACAACAATGGTTCGGCAACCTGCCGACTGGTTGTGTAAATAACTTCAAGACGCTTGCTTACTTATTCACCTCCAACTTCGCCATGAACATCCCTGCGAAGAAGACGACCCTTGATTTAGGAACAATTCAGCAGGGCGAGAAGGAGGGGCTTCGTTCTTACATCAGGCGGTTTAACCTGATGAGAATACAGATTCAAGGGTTACCGGATGAAGTAGCCTATACTGACTTTTTCAGAGGTCTCAAAGACGGGTCGACCTTCAAATTTGATTTGGTCCGAAAGAGGGTGGCGACTCTTCAAGAGGCCTTGATTGAAGCGGAAGCCTATATACAGGCGACTGATCTTTGTAGTACGGTAAAACAGTCGGACGGGAGAAGGTCCGACAAAAGAGAAGGACGACTGAAACAGTCGTCAAACAAAGACGAGAAGAGAAAAGAGGTTTGGGCGGCTGATTCCTCTAAACAGCCGGCCCAGAAGAAGAAAAAAGAATTCAAACCATACTCCCCAAAGTATGCGTTTAACAAGGATAGCCAATTTATCCTAAAGGAAATCAAGGGGCGAATCTCAATTGAGAAGCCGGTCCCCATGAAGGGTTCTGCAAACAACCGGAACCAAGAAAAATTATGTGCTTATCATGAAGATGTTGGTCATCACACCAATGAATGCATCAGTCTCATGCGGTATCTGGACCGCCTGGCTGAGCAAGGTGATCTTGACACTTATGTCAAGAAATCTACGGGGAACACTTCCTCAAAAAAGCAGTCGACCAAAAAGAATCAACAGGCCGACAGCTCCGATACAGATGATGCAGTCGTCTACACCATTGCAGGCGGCTTCTCAGGAGGCGGCCCCATTATTAGGGGCAACAAAGACAATATCAGACGGTTAGATGTAAATTCCGTTCACCAAGAACGGCCCTCCAAATATTCATTTCCTGAGATTGTCATCACTGAAGAAGATCTAGGAGGGGTAAGAGGGCCGCATGACGACCCTATCGTTATTGAATGTAAAGTGGCCAACCAGAGAGTTGGTCGAATCCTCATAGATACCGGAAGCTCCTCAGATCTCATCAGTAGCAAATGTCTGTCGAAACTAAAATATCAGACTGATTGCATACATCCGGCATCCCACCCTTTAGTAGGGTTTGGAGGAGGAGTCGTCCACCCAGTGGGACGAGTGGATTTACCCATCCGCCTGGGCGAAAAAGGGGAAGGACGACACATGGTAGTCCGGTTCCTGGTAGTAGAAGAACTCTCGCCCTACAACATGATTCTGGGACGACCAACCCTGAATAATTCCAAGGCTGTTATAATCCCATCTCTTATGTTGCTCAAGTTTGAGAGGGATAATGGAACAGTCGGGTCCCTAAGGGGAGATCAGAAGATGGCCCGAGAGTGCTATCTCTCGGATGTCAAGCCCACTGTTATGGCCACTGGGTCAAGTGGTGGAAAAACAGACCTTGACAATGTCAAGGAGAGTGCGCCTGATCAAGAAGCAGGCGGCAAGAAGAGAAAGGCAGCCAGACGGGGGCCGCAAGAAAAGACAGAAAATAGCAATCATTGGCAGAGGAGCGGTCGGATGAATTCCGCCCTCAGCCGGCTGGTGAGCATACGGACCTGATCTTAGACGACTCGCGACCTGACCGAACAGTCAAAGTTGGGACGACTACTCTGAGAAACCTTGGTGACAACTTTCACAACCTATTGAAAGAATACAAGGACATCTTTGCATTCGAAGTCCACGAAATGTCAGGCTGACCTGGCGGTACATAAACTGGCTGTGGATCCGAAAAAGAAGCCAGTAAGGCAGAAGAAGCGGAACCATGGCGAAGAAAGAAGTCAGGCGGCAGCCGCCGAAGTTAAAAAATTACTTGATGCAGGGTTCATTCGGCAATGTTACTTCCCAGATTGGGTTGCAAATGTGGTGCTTGTTAAAAAGCCGAATGGCACCTGGCGAATGTGTGTAGACTACACAGACTTAAACAAGGCGTGCCCCAAAGACAGTTACCCTCTGCCTAAAATTGATAACCTGGTCGACTCAACAGCCGGCCATGCTTTGATGAGCTTTATGGACGCCTACTCTGGTTTCCATCAAATTCCTTTATGGAAGAAAGATCAGGAGAAGACGGCCTTCGTCACTCAGGGGTTATACTGTTACACGGTCATGTCGTTTGGTCTTAAGAATGCCCCGGCCACTTTCCAGCGAATGATAAACACTGTGTTCTTTGATCAAATTGGGAGAAATGTGGAGGCATATATTGATGATATGATTGTCAAGTCTAAACTTCAGAAAGATCATCTGTCGGACCTCCGAGAAACTTTCGCCACACTCAGGCGGCACCATGTCATGCTCAATCCCAAGAAATGTGTA